CCTGTGGGAAACTGTGAATGATCTCTTTCAAAGCTGGGAAGTGCGCGGTGCAGGGCTCTGTTTGGGACAAGTGTCTTTGGAAAAGTTGCAGTTTGGTTCCAAAGGCTTTAATGTGAGCGTATAGCTGGCTCACCACTGCATCTTTTCCTTGAAGATAACATTCAAGTGCATTCAGATGCTTCGTTATGGCAACCAAAAAAGCTAGATTTGCCAGCCATACAGGATCGGACAGTTCCTCCATTGGTTGTCCCTTCTCACCCAAAAAATCTCCAATTTCCTCTTTGAGAGAGAAAAATCGCTGCAGTGCGGACCCCCGACTTAGCCACCTCACATCGTTGTGATATATTACGTCACCGTATTCAGCCTGGATGTCACGCAATAACTGCTGAAACTGTCGGTGGTATAGAGCTTTAGAGCGAATATAATTGATTGCCTTTGCCACTGGTTTCATAACATCGTCAAATTTGAGATGTTTGGCGCAGAGAGCCTGCTGGTGAATGATACAGTGAAGTTTAATAGCGTTGCCTGCTTCTTCGCTGACTTTATTGCAGATCAGTGTGGACAATCCACTTCGCTCACCAGCCATGGCAGGCGCACCATCGGTAATGATCCCAGAAACTTTACTCCATGGTAGTTTCATATCATCAACAGCTTCACAAACAGAAGCGAATAAATATGTTCCTCTGGTTTGCCTTTTAAGGCTTTTGAGGTCAGGCAGCTCCTCTGTCAAGTTCATGTTGTCATCAAATACACAATCTTTGATAAACGCACCTTCAGTAAAATTTTGCTCTGTTTAGCTATTAACATGGCCACTTCCTAGCTGGCTTTGGTGATGTTTTCCCTTGACTCACAGGCCCGCGTGAAGAATCGCTGTTGCGATGCCAGAGCAGCTTGGAGTTGCTTCACTTTTTTAGCGCGGTCACTCCCTGTTAGCTTGTCGTATGTTGTAGCATGTTTAGTCTCGTAGTATCTCTTTACATTGAAATCCTTAAACATGGCAGCCGTCTCTTTACAAATTAGACAAACACAATTGCCTCGATTTTCAGTGAAGAAGTATTGTAATTTCCACCGCTCCTGAAAGCGGCGGCCCTCACCGTCAACTTTTCTTTTTTTTGCAGTCGCCATCGCAGAAATTATTCGAGAAGGGTTCGCGGCACAGATGCCGAGCCAGAGAGCATTATAATGGTGCTGCCACCGAGTGGTGAAAGGAGGAATTACATCTTTAAAATTTTATGATTTATTTATTCTGACAGAGCTAGCGAGCCATAAATAACACATTATAAGACCGAAGCTGCGGGCCATATGAAATCTGACCGCAGGCCGTGATTGGCCCGCGAGCCGGACTTTGAACATGCCTGATCTAGAGGGTTCCACGAGGGGGCGTGGCTGGAGTCGGAGCTGTGCTTTGCCAAAAAGAATATAAGTGGAGGCAGGAGAAGACTCGTCATCGGTGTGGGAAGCCTCGGGTCTGGACTGCATCACCGCTCAACCTCTCCTCGCCAACGACCACGTGGCGAATCCCCAGCGAGCAGCCACTCCTCCCAGCACGCTGCCAGGCAGCGGCGGATCGGGTAGAAAGTGAGGCGTGCCCCAACAGTGGGCAAGAGAACGGCTCGTCAACAGCAGAGAGAGAGAGGGGAATTACCCAGAGAGACGCCAGTCAACAGTCGTCGTGGAAGTCGTTTATTACGTTGAAGTCAGAAGTGGTCCTTCTAGAGATCTATCTACGTGACTTTACCAAAAGAACCAGAAAGTATGGATTCCTGCAGTCACGAAAGCTTTAAATCAAGATTATAAATCCCAATGGATATACGTGTAAAGATGAACGCTTTTTTAGCTTTCAAAGTCAGTAGTTTGATGCTTACACACATCTCAAAAGGGTTTTACGAGAAAATGTAAAGATGAAAATTAAATCAAATGTACAAATGCAGGTGATCACATATGCTAACAAAACATTAAAACATTAGCAACATCTGCCTACTTATGTACAAAAGTGCATGATAAAATGCACCTGTCAGGCAAAGACTACGTTCTGAGAGACATTTGATGGAAGGCACTGGCATATTTAAGATTCTATGAAAGTCACAATGCAAGCAAACATTTAAAAAAATCTGGATTGCTTCACAGCGGTCAGGGTAGAACATGTTGACGCGTGATTACAAGGAGGAATGTATTGTAAAGGCAAGACTGGAGGGTGTAATCTTTTTACGCAATCTTAACAAAACAGTTTTCAATACAATGGCATTGTAGATTATAAGCATGGCAAATGTCATGAACATTTGAACGTGATTCGGGACAAACTACGAGTTCTGAGACAACACACGCACATCCATCCATTCCTTTACTACTTTATCAGGCGTTCAGGAATATATGAACATAAATACCCTCAATTGCCTACATATGCAGATACTGATTGATAGGCTGTGGTACAGACTTGTTTTATTTACGTAGAAATTATTTTGCACCGTATGGAGCCAACCATGATAATCAGGGGTGGAAGCAAGGATGCTGCTGTTTAGGAGATAATTGTATTCTTTAATCAGTCATGAAGGAATAGGGCAGTCCTCGGTTTACGAACCTCATTAATTCCTGAGACCCGTCCATAACTTGAACGGTTCGTGAGTCGGAACACAATAATCGACTGTATTAGAATAGGTTTTCCCCTTTTATCCTGCAACAAAACAGGTGTTAAGATTTTAAAACTCCAAACTGAAACCTTTTACAAGGAATCATGTCTGCATTAACCACAATACTTGTGTAATAAAAGACTCCGTCAGGCACTGCTGGTTTCCTTTGGTCTTTTATTTAGGTTCTCTCTCCGCGCCCCGCTGGTCTCCTCCGCAGACTAGCGTCGTCTCGCGCGTGCCCCGCACGCGCTCCCTCGTCAGCTCCTCCACTCCTCCTCACACCCGCTGGTCCTGATAAGGGACCAGCGTCTCCTCTCGCGTGCCGTGCACGCTCCTCCGTTAGCTCCTCCACTCCCGCACTCCGCACACCACTGGCCGACGGCGTGCTGAGGTCCTTCAGCCATGTGGCCGATGGCGCGGATCTCCTCTCGACACCCAACGTGTGTCAGCCTCTTAACTTCCTCAACTGACCCCGATCTTCTTGGTTCTTTCAGTAAAGTCACGTAGAATGGAAAAAATAAAATAATAAAAATAAAACATAATAAATTAATTCACACTAAGATGAATCCCTGCAGTCACGAAAGCTTTAAATCAAAATTTGACCCCGATCTCTTCTGGGCTCCCACTTATATCCTCTCCCCCCACGTGACCCTGACTCCTCCCCTTCCGGATCGTCAGATCCGGCCTTCCCATACTGCCCTGCTGGCTCCGCCCCATTCACCTCGCCTCCCATTGGAGCCGAGGTGAACGGTGGCCCCTCCCACACGCCCCGCAGACCAGGCTCCGCCCCCCAATACCCCGGGTCGTATGATTGGGCCAGAGCCCAGCAACAACCCCATTTATGCTCGCATTACATTTGTGGTCAGAATGCAAACAAAAAACCTACTCTGATAATATATGTGCATTGTCTTAGAAACTTTCGAGTCAAGTCTCAAAACGGTGTTAGATAATACATATGCTATCAGAGTATTTTTTTGTTCGCTTTCTGACCACAAGTATTGTGATTTATGAACACTTGATTCCTTGTAAAAGGTTTCAGTTTGGTGTTTTAACATCTTAACACCTGTTTTGTTGCCAGAAAAAAGGGGAAAACGTATTCTCCTATTTTGGTACTAGCAAAGGAGGTCCCATGAAATCCACTGTTTTTAAATGCCCATATGGTCAGTTTTAAGAAATGTGCTAAGGTTCAACAGAAAAAGAAGCAGTCAAACTCACAATTAGAAGTATTGTACTTTTCCATGTAGCAATATAAAATACTGTATAATAAATAAAATAAAATATAAAATAAAGTAACATTAATAGAAAAAAACACTTTTTTTCATGAACCTTGGGTCCTGATGCTAGTCAGAAGGGGGGCAACGAGTTACCACAATTGCAGACACCCACACAGACAGACAGAGAGACACAGACAGAGACACACACACCACGACGACAATGATCCCCCGTGTAGCCTTAATAGGCTATAGGGGCAAGTGCTGTTAGTGAGCATCGCCTATGAGGGCCGGCACGGCACACGTGGGGGTGATTGGCCAGCGCCACGCCCGGCTGCCTTTGTATCCCCAGTGGCGATGTTTACACACCAGGGCTTCCGGCACTGATGTTAGCCGTGAGCAAGAATCGAATTCGGGTCGCCACTTTTGTAGCACAGTGCGCTCACCACTACACTACCGCTCCCCACACACCAATACCAATATCCGCCATTCGCCACAAAGTGACGGCGACGTCACCACGGCGCCTGTGCCAGGCTAGGTGCACTTTGAGGCACTAAATGTGGGGTTGGCTGTCTTGCTTTCTTCTGAAACAGTGGGATGCTTTCCAAGCAAGAAAAGCTCACGAAAATATATATGTGAGACAAAAAAAAATCTGAAATGCTGGATATGATTAGCACATCGAGACCAGTCTGTAGTTTGACTGCTTACAAATGCCGCTTGGTGATTGATGTTCGCATGAAAAAATCAACGGTCGATGGACTAAACTATTTTTATATTTATATGTGAATATAGAATGGAGTTCTGATTATTTGTCCTTTCGCCCATGATGTTGCACATGAATGCATAACAAGTTTGCGTGTGATTTAAGTTTTAGTGCATTGAGAGCCTAAGCATAATTTGGAAATTATATCTCATTGTTCGACTGCTCGAAAGACTCCTTATTCATACGCTATCCTCACTGCCTTTGTCATATGCAATATTCAACAACTCGAAGGGCATACGCTCACAATCTTTATTTCACGTCCACACACGCGTTGTGTCTCTCGCACACAGGCACACACGCACATTCGTTATTATCAAGCACTGGGTGGAGTCTGGGAAGCTCCACCTTTTTGTGAATCTGAATATGAAGCCTGGGTGAATCCTGAGAGCAGAAGAGACGGAGCGAATGACTTGCGCCCTACGGCTTTCCTTCCATCACCTGAACATCGTGAGTATTATAAGAGATGCAAGTCAGCTGCACATTGGCCAGTAATAGGCTAAATCTATTGAAATCAGTTACAGGTAAATTATGTACGGTATATATGTTAGAACGTACATTGTATAGACTATGTGTGGTTAATATAGGCTGGCTATTGTAAATCAGATATGTCAACAGGCTATGTTTAAAAAATAATACCATATTAAACTACATGTTAATGTCTAATGGGATAGCGAAGTTAAATAGGTTGAACACATGGCCATGTAATATCGGACTGCATGCAAACACACCAAAATAGTGAAAAATTATAAGTTATTACAATGTAGGCAACAACAAAAAGAATTATGTTTTGAAAATATGTCAGACATTAATCTTGCCTGAACACTTGCACTTACGCTTACCTTGATGTTGGTTTATAATACTATCCATATCCCAAACACAAAATTAGCGACTCCCTTAATAGTCTTGATTTATCAAACGCTTTATCTACTGATATGCCAATCATAGTGCATACTACCTTCTTTGACAGTGTTCGGACATGTGGTCATTAACGAAACATATAGAAACTTTCGTGACTGCAGGGATTCATCTTCTTGGTTCTTTCGGTAAAGTCACGTAGAAGGGACATAATAAAATAATTAAAATAAAACATTATAAAATAAATTATCACGACGTTTCGGCCACAACACAAACAGCCGTCCGCAGGTGAAGAACAAAGCTGTCTGAAAAACAGCGTCGTAATGAACAACGCTAAGCTTGGCAGCTTATACTTAAGCTTTGTCAAGGCACTCTGCCCCTCCCACCCAGCTTAAAATATACGCTGCCAAGCTTAGCAGTGTTCATAGGAGCGCTATCTTTCAGACAGCTCTGTTCTTCACCTGCGGACGGCTGCTTGTGTTGTGGCCGATACGTCGTGAGAATTTTATTTTATTATGTTTTACTTTTATTATTTCCCTTTTATGTGACTTTACCGAAAGAACAAAGAAGATATAAGAAAAGGTTTTACCCTTTCTGGCAATGAAAGAGGTGTTAAGATGTTAAAACACCAAACTGCAACCTTTGCAAGGGTTCATGTCTGCATTAACCACGTACACTTGTGGTGAACAAATTATGCTTAAGTTTAAACACAGGACACAATCTAAACACCAAAGTATGCAAGTGAGGTGTTTATGTGTACGTACATAAATGCACATACAAGTGATGTGGTGTAGACTAAGGTTGCCGCTAGTCAGTACAGGTTTTTCAACCTTTATACGGGTTCGGTTTGTGTAATATCATGGATATTGGACGAATGTATTTCTACTCAAAATTCGCTATATGCAATTTAAATTCACTCATATATGGCTTCGTGATCGGACGTGGGAGACCATTATGTGTGTACGCTATGAACTGTTTGGCAGTTAAGCTGCCCTGTGTGGTTTCGGTTTGTGTGCCCTTTTTCTTGGAACACATCTATAACCACAAAGCGAGGGAAACCTGTATGTGTTGCACTTCAGGCTGCGCCCTTTACAATGAATGTGCAGTATTTAACAGAACATTCCATTGCACGACAGTGACATTAAAGAGCTGTATAAGACGACCTCACCATTAGGGTGCTCTCATTAACAATTTTCTTCTACCACATAACTTATTGCAACACTACAGGCGCAGTCCTTGGCTCTGCAAGCGGCCCAAAAACAAACAAAAAAACGTAATATAATCCTTCTCGTGACACTTAGTGTGCCTCGGTAGGAACTAAACTCTGTTGCCAGTCACGAGGGCAAGTCCCGGAGTCTGCCCGTGCCGAACTAACAAATATGATTGTGTGCTGTTTGTATATAATTTCTAGCTCATGTGATTAATTACCTAGTATACATTACGGCCCGACATTCTCCTCCCACCTTTGCACACGTTTTGCATCCATCGGGTCAGCCTGAGGTCATTCCTGGTTCTGGCTCCGCAGACATCCTGGCACTTGATGTCATAACCCCTATCAAACTCCTCCCTTTGGAGGTCATCCCACGATATGTGTGAACACAGACACACTTAATTGCCCCTAGGTGTTGTGTGAGTCTGTAGCCATTTTTATTGTGAAACGACTTTTCTCCCTCGTTAGGTCGACTCATCCTTAAAATTAATTCCTGCTGCAGCATGCAATGACAGTCACTGGGAAAACAAAGGCGGTTGGCAGGCTCTGGTTATACCCCTGGAATACATGCATTTTTTGTCGTGGAGAATATACGTTATTCGTATTACGTATATTTTCTGAATGATCCTTTGGTTCAAGACATCAATACAACACTTCCATACGTCATTATCAAGTTTATATGCTTAACCCAGATCTCATGGCACTTATGTATTGATAAGTGGATGTTAAAAGAACATGTAACTAGTCGTATTCACTACCCCCTGACTATGTGCTGTATTGTCACTTACAGTGAGGGAAAAAAGTATTTGATCCCCTGCTGATTTTGTACGTTTGCCCACTGACAAAGAAATGATCAGTCTATAATTTTAATGGTAGGTTTATTTGAACAGTGAGAGACAGAATAACAACAACAACTATTCAGAAAAACGCATGTCAAAAATGTTATACATTGATTTGCATTTTAATGAGGGAAATAGGTATTTGACCCCCTCTCAATCAGAAAGATTTCTGGCTCCCAGGTGTCTTTTATACAGGTAACGAAGTGAGATTAGGAGCACACTCTTAAAGGGAGTACTCCTAATCTCAGCGTGTTACCTGTGTAGAGGTGTAATTGCGCATGGCTACGAATGTTGAGGTGTGATTATGCATGGCCACGGATGGCCAACAAACACAAGGGGCGGGGTTACGGCCGTACACAAGGGTGGCGCTAGCACCGACGTCCGCATGTGTATCCCCCACGGGCCCCCCCTCGGGGGCGAGTCCTATAAAAGGTGATGAGCTCGAGGGCTCGAGGTCGGGACTCAGCTTTAACCAGAGAAGACGGAAGACCAGCTAGTGTAGGCCCCAGAGCTCCCCTGGCTCGCTGTCCTTATAAGGGCCGACCAGGGCAAGCCGGTGGCGTGGCCCCGAGAGCCCAGACGAAGCTGGTCTGGTGACTCAGGGAGCCGGGATCCCAGCTTAACCAAGCTGGGACAGATAGCCTCCCCTAGTCCCGTAGTGGAGGAATTGGTATAGGTTAAAGGGGTTAGATGTCGAGAATCCCTGTAGCCCAGTGACCTGTACAACTGTGTTGGTGTAATAAATAAGTGTGCCTCCGATCCTGTCGTCAAGCCTCCATATATACTTACTACATCTGGTGTCAGAAGTAAACGTCCAACGATGGACACACGAGGGACGACACGTACCAGGGAGTCGGAGATGGAAGACGCCGCGGCCGATTCTCCACCAGTGATGGCCGGGGTCGAATCGGAGCAGCCGGGGCCGAGTACGCCCGCGCCGCTACGACAGGAGGAGGGGGATGCGTCGGCCGAGGGACTCCGGCTGGCCCACTCCCGCCTGGCGGACCTGCTCTACGCCGCGGCCGCCGTGTTGGAGGAGATCACGCGGCTGGGGGCTGGAGGAGCAGCGCGGGTCGACGACGGCAGCCGGCGCGGGGCGACGTTTCCCGCCACCCCGACGCGGCTCGCGGTCAAATTTCCCGCCATCTCTACAGTACGAGCGGAGGGCGGGGCCGGCCCGCGTCACGTGTCTGCTGAGCGCCAAGCACAAGCCGTGACATCATCAACGCCGGCCGGCGCGTCAACATCAGAGCGACCGGCGATGCCATGTGCACGGCCCGCCCACACTGTATCATCGGCGGGGAGCGACGGAGAGCGTTCTGCGGCCACGGACGCCGCCTTACAACAGCGTCTGCCGCCTCTTAAAGAATTTGTCGGCGCTGACGGAGACTGGGGCGGCTTCAAGAGGCGGTTCATCGCTCATCAAGAGATGGCGAACTGGTCGGACGCCGAGGCTCTACGCGCGCTGCCAGCGATGCTGGACAACGACGCCCTGGCTACCCTCACCTCGGCGCCGAGGGAAAAGCGCGCCACTCTACACCTGGCGTTGCAGCTGCTGTCAGCCGTCTATGGGCCGCCTTCGGACTGCAGGCAGCTGTTCCACGATCGGAGTCGGGGCGCCAACGAGTCACCCCTGGCCTTCCGGACGGCTCTCCTGGCTCTGGCAAAGGCTGCTTTCCCAAGGATGGACGAGGAAGGAGTGGATGCCATGGTGGCAGAGAAGCTGCTGCTACTCGCTGACGAGCTGGACGTCAACGTCCTGGCTCAGGACGACGCGGAGATGTCGTCCCTGCTGGTCGCGCGCCACATCCACGGGGGCTTGCGGTCCCTGCGTCGGAAGGCGGCAAAGGGGGCGGCCGGCCATGCCATGGCGACCACCGCCCTCCCATCGGAGGAGGTCTGCGGGGTGGAGCGGCAAGGGCAATGGAGATCGGCGGCACCGCAGGCTCGGAATGGACCGAGCCGCCAGGAGCAGCCCAGGTCATCTGGGGCGCTCACACGCTGCTACAACTGTGGCCTGCAAGGCCACGTTGCGTCTGGATGCCGGGCTCCCCGTCAGCGCGGGGCGACACCTCGTCAGGACGCCACGCCGTCTCCTCCCAAGCTCCAGCAGAGAAATACGGCGAGTCGCGGCACCTCACACGTTTGGCCCACGCACACATCCGACACACACTCACGCGCGCACCTAAACAGGGTTCCAAATTCCCCGTCCGTCGCGCGCGATTGTTCGGTAATGCGGCGAGCGCTCCAACCGGGTCAGTGGTCGGAGCTCGCCCATCGTGTCGTTGCTGCGTCGGCGGGATCATCTGTCGTGGTCGGTCACATTGATGGGGTAGAGGTGCGGATTTTAATTGACACAGGGGCATCGGCGACCATTATATCTGATTTAATTTATAACATCCTTCCCGTTCAAAGTCGTCCCTTGCTCCCTGTTGACGTGCCGTGCTATGCCGCTAACGGAGGCTCTCTGGGCATTATTGGCCAAATCCGCGCCACTATCTGCATTGGGGACATTAAATTATCCGGCCCTGTTTTGGTTTCCT